ACAGAATACCTTTAAGCCTTCCTTGCTCCCAAGTTATACTTAGACAAGTCACAAAAGTGCATCTAAAGGATAAAAGACAGATAAGCAGAAAGACAAAGGACTAGTATTCACAATACATTAAGAATTACTACGAACCAATGAGAAAATGAGCAAGAACTCAAAAGGAAAAACTGCCTAACTTCACTAGTAATCACGAAAATGAAACATGGTGGAAACTTTGTACATCTGTAAGATTAGGCTCCCCGCTCTAAAAGAAAAAAATCTGATGGTATCAAATGTTCAGGACAATTTGAGAAAGGTATACTTTTATAGTACTGGTGCGAGTTTAAATTGGTGTAATTATACAGTAAGAAATCTGACAACATTTAGTACAGATGACTATGTATACCCTAGGATGCAGCAAGTTCTCAGCTATGCATAATAACCCTACCAAAGGAAGTTCATTGCAGCATTGTTTCTAATAGCTAAAAACTAGAAAACAGCCCTAACTTTTTATAAAATGTGGTAGAGACATAGACAATGGAATGCTGTGTAAAAAAAAAAAAAAAAATTTAACTAGTGCTATAACACTAAATGTGCATTCCTAAACATCTGACACTCTGGAAAACAATTAAAAAGACACTAAAATACCACTAATTATGTGAAACTTCTAAATAAAACACTAAAAATACTAGTGATTATGTAAAAATCACTAGTTTGGAGCAGTCTACTCTAAACCTATGTAACTTTGGAACCTGAGCACTAAAACTGAAAATAAATAATTAACAATTAGAACCTCAGAAGATTGACAATAGCTTAAGACAGTACAAGCAGTCATGACAATGGATTCCTCAGGAGCTTTTAAAAATGCTTACAAATAATAAAGTGGAAATGTTGGCTTGTGGATGCTGAGACAATGCAGACCAAAGTGGAGGAGAGCACCAGAAGTTAAGAGCTCTATAATGCTAAGACTGTGTAACTTTGAGGAAAATACCCAGGTACAGATGATCACTTAAAAAAAAAGGCTTTGTTTAAGAGCTGAAAGAACTCCTGGTCTATGCAAGCAGATAACATGAGAGCCTATTTCCTTGCTTATAATTCTATACTCTGCCTCAGTTCCCCATACCTAGAAAATAAACTAACACAACTTTCCCATTTACCTGACATCATTTTTGTATCTAGTAATCACTTATGAGCTAACTACTGTTATAAAATACATTATAGCAGAAGTGACTATGTTATGTATCCACACTGAAATCTAATTATTTAAAAGCTGCAATCCAACATAATAATTATGTAATTGTCTAAATCACACAAAATACTATTTATGCACATGTAAAAATATAAAACTATATATCAGAAGGATATACACAACTTCAGAATACAGGTGGTTGGGGGAGAGAGAAATAAGGGGGCAAAACAAAGAAATCAATTTTATCTGTAATGTTTTCTATTATAAAGTAAAAGTGAAGCAAAAATGACAGAATGATACTCTGTACATTAAGTTCGTGTATTCATATCCTTGTAAAATATTTTTTAAATTAAATCACGTAAAGATGAACTGTCAAAGGGACAATGAAATGGACATGTTTGTTTGTCAAAAAACAAACTTACGGCATCTACAAAGTTTTTCATAATAGGCTGCAAAAATGATTTGACCTTTCTATCCACTTTCCGGCCAAATTTGAATATCATTGCTCTTCAGTATAGGTATCTGAAACAATAACAGGAACGAGAGTTTTTTATAGGAAGCCTAGTTCTACCGTTCACTTCAAAGTCTCACATTTACAAAATAACAAATGTATCTTAATGTCCCACTAAAAGGCTTATTTTCAAGTGGACAGTGAATTATATATTACAACTTTCCCTTGAATCTTCTCATATACATCTGAAGTATTAAAGCCAACTATTACTATTTACTATACTACTATATAGATTTCTTCAGTTTTTCTATTAACATTTTTTCTGTTCCAGAATCTAATCCAGGATACCACAATGCATTTGGTCATCATATCCCCTTAGTCCCTTCTAGTCAACTTCAGTTTCTTAGTGTTTCCTGGTTTTTCATTACCTTGAAATTTTTGAAGAGTACTGGTCAGGTATTTTGTAGAATGTTTCTCAATTTAGGTTTGTCTGATGTTTTTCTCAAGCTTAGACTGGGATTGTGAGTTTTAGGGATGAATAAATACCACAGAGGTGAAGGAGATACATGTTACTAACACAATTTATAACTGATGATGCTAGTTCCCTTATCACTTGGTTCAGGTAGTAGTTATTTGCCAGGTTTCTCCAGTGTGAAATTACTATTTTTTTTGTTCTATCTATTCTTTTGTCCAGTCCATACCTGAGGGATGCTTCTAAAGAGGAATGGGGAAAAGTATCTACAAATTTTTAGAATAATTCTGTAAGATTTATCCTTTCTCCTCACTTATTTATTCAGCCATATTTATATCAGCATGACTTCATGTATATTTACAATCAACTTTGGGTAATAATTAAATACTAGGTTACTCTGTTGCTCAAACTGTTCTAGCTCAGAACACTGGGAGCTCTTCCAGGTTGGCTCTTATGTTCCTTCAATACAAATGGCCCAATCATTTTGTTTTTTCGAGCACTTCCTTACTTTCTGACACTACTAGATGCCCTAGGCTCATCCTGTATTTTCTTGCCACAGCCCTAAAATCAACCATTTCTCCAAAGAAATTCCTTTTATTGGAGAATGATATTTAGAAACCATGATCTGGGCACTGGGCATTTACTGGCATGTCACTGCTTCTAGGCCCTGGCAGCAGAAAGAGCTAAGAAATATATGTATGTATACGAATCCAAGAATAAAAACACACATATATAATTATTTCTGTATATATCTACACATATTTTAGACTAAACATGAGTTCATACTGATGTCTCTGACTCTAATCTGGTATTCTGTGGTTAATTTTTAATTCCAGACTGAGCTTCCTTCTAATACCTAGCATACTTAAAAGGTATCCTCTATTAGCAGGCAGTTCATTAAACTCAAGTTCTAGTATTAGTACTGAAACAGGAAAGTATAATGTATTTCAAAATGGAGTCCCATGATAGATCATCTCCATACTGAAACTATACATCAGCACATAATTAGAACCACATAAAAACCTCAATTTTTTTTTTAACCAGTATTCAATTCTTTAATATACAGCTGACACTTGAACTATGCAGGTCTACTTACACAAATTTTTTCAATAAATACTATATAAGTATGTTTTCTTCCTTATGATTTTTATAATAACATTTTCTCGTTTACTTTGTTGTACAAATACATATAACATACAAAACATGTTAATCAACAATTTATGTTATCAGTAAAGCCTCCAATAAACAATAAGCTATTCATAGTTAAGTTTTAGAGAAATAAAGTTATATTCGGATTTTTGACTGTGAGAGGGTGGGGAGGTTGAGGTGGTCAGTACACTTAACACCCATTTTAATAGTCAATTGTATTTTCTTTGAAAAGCCACTCTCCATTAAAAAGGAGAGAGATAAGAGGTCAATGTCATGGCTTACTATACATACATCATCAATATACCATTTTAAATTGAAGAAAAGAAATTATGTGATTTGACCTATATCACACCACCTGCAAAGGGCGAAGTTGAAACTTGACTGTGTCTAAATTCCGTTTTCCACTCCAATTTCCATGGTATCTACATTATACTTCATTTTAGGTCATAAAAAAAAAAAAAGAAGAAGTCAACTTATAAAATAAAAAATAAAAACAAAAGTGACCTCCTCATAAGTTCAATTCCCTACTATAGCTTTTGTTGGTTATTTCAAGAGATAAAGTGTAGTTAGGTAAAGTATAGTTAGTTCACCTTCTCTAAAATCAATTAACAGAATAAAGCATGTGTTCATACTTAAAAATAAAACCACAACTAAAATAAACACAAATTTATTCACAGAATATTTAATAAATAACCACCTTGTGTGGGTATTCTAACAAATACTGTGCAAGATGAACAAACAAATGAGACACACAATCTAGGCCTTCCCGGAAAAACTCATCATTTTATGAGGCCAGATATGTGGTTGGGCATAAGAAAACTAATATAGAAAACAAAGACAACTGTAAGTGAAGTGTAAATATACAGGTATCTTTACGTTTTTTTCCTTCTCTAAACAACTGTGATCTTTATTAGTCTATAACAGATTTAAGAATCTTGATTGTTTTCTGGCAAAGGTGACTAGGATATTTACTAAAAAAAGAATGTCTGGTAGTAGCTGAAGAAAAACTTTTACTTTGCTAGATTAACTGTTATAATACCGAAAAGCAACAAGAGATGATAAGACTTGAGTAAAGGGGCAACAATAATGGATTTCAGTTCAGATTCTATGTCTTATTAGCTAGCAAACACTGGGTAAACCATTCAACCTTTTAGTCTATACGTCACCATATTTAAGATGAGGCTATCATCTGCCCTACATCACAAGACATTTGAAGGCTCAAATAAGAATATACACAGCAAAACAACTTTGTAAGTTATAAAGTACTAGCCAAATGCAAACTACTATTTATTTAAAAAGACAGGTAAACAGGTAGGTACATAATACATATATACACATACAAATACACAGAATGTTGTTATATCCACCAGGACACCAAGCAACAATGATATCCATTACAGAGGTACTTGGACCACTAGTTTTTTAAATTCTACAGAGCAAAACCTCATTTAAAACAGAGGTCCCCAACCTTTTTGGCACCAGGAACTGGTGCTCCTATGAGAATCTAATGCCTGATGATCTGAGGTAGAGCTGAGGCGGTGATGCTAGAGCGGGGGAGTGGCTGCAAATATAGATGAAGCTTCCCTCATTCACCTCCTGCTGTGTGGCCGAGTTCCTAACAGACCACGGACAGGTACCAGTCTACGGCCTGGGTATTGGGGAGCCTGACTTAAACATATTAATTTTAAATATATATATTTCTTAACGTTAAAAATTAAATCCTATGAAGTAACAGCTAGATATTTAACTGAACTTACCTTAACAAAATTATCAGGAAACATTCCTCTTCTCCCATTTAGTTCTCCTTCTAGCCATCCTTCCTCCTGTAGTTTTTTCACGTTCCTGATGATTTCCCCAACTCGAATAGTTAATTCATCATCATGTACAGCATCATAGTCATATTCCACAATATAGTCAACTAAAAAAAGAAAAATAAATGAATGTCTAAAACTTAATTCATGAAATACGATTAACTATAGTACTAAACATAAAACTAAGGAGCCCGTTTAGCAACAGTATCATCAAGGCTTACTTCAATGATTTTAAATATTTGCATACATCAGCAAATTTCTTGATTACCTTAGTATAAAGCTCAGTACAAGTTTTAAGTGGAAGTCTCAATACAATGTATAATTCGTGTAATCAGTTGTTCTTATAGTAAGATATATATTCCTTATGTCAGACAAACTCTAAGTTGATCCCCATGCGTTTCTTTGTGTAACTCCCTCTCTTGGAGTGTGGACATAGCCTATCACTGACTGTTAACCAACAGAACATGACAAGCATGCTGAATTCTGTTTTGACATAAGATTGTAATGTTCATCTTTCTAGAAACTCATTAGATGGCTTTGAAGATACAAGCAGCTATGTTGCGAGCTGGCCGATGGAGAGGGCCACATGCAAGCAACTAAGGAAGGTCTACAGCTGACAGCCAGCAAAAAATTGAGGCCCATAGTCCAACAGCCCACAGGGAACTGAATGACAGCCAACAACCATGTGAGCTTGGAAGCAGTACTTCCCCAGTTGAAAACCCAGTCCTGGCCAACACTTTGAATGCAGCCTTGCAGAGGACCCAGTCAGCCATGCCCAAAGTGCTGAATCACAAAATCAATGATATAATAAATGTATATGATTTTAAACTTCTATGTTTGTGGCAATATTGTCACATAACAATAGAATGGTATTAGAGAGATGAGAGCAGAGTTCCATGCAGTGGTGTGGGAGCGAGAAGGCAACCTACAATGAGAACTAACAGTCCAAGCAGGAGAAGAGGGTGTCTATGCAAAGGTGTACAGTGACAACAGAAATGGAAAATTGCTTACATGCAAGGGGACTGATTAAATAAGTAAATATATGAAGAATAATGGAAGCCAAGTCTATGTCAGAGAAGAGTTATAAAGAAAAAAGGCTAGATTTAAACCTGTGGTAATGTATGGGAATGAGAAGTATCAGCATGAACTTATATTTTCAATACATAAATATGCGCGCGCACACACACACACACCCTAGCTGTCCAATGAAAGGGCCTGAAACCAGCCCAATGGCAATGAGCAAACCTAATGTTGAGATCTTATGAACACCACTTTCTACTAAAAGGAATCAGAAATCCTTCGGAAGACAGACAATTCCAGGGCTAAGGCAGGAAACAAGAAAAGCCTAAAACATATTATGCCAGAAAGCAAGAAGTTCTCAAAAAAAGATGAAATGATGCCGAAGAACACAAAGAAGTGATATCAAAAAAAGGCTCCCATTGGGCATACCAGGACAATTTAAGCATCATAATAAATAACGACAGTAACAGAACATACTTCACTGAATAAAGAAACCATGAGTCCATACATGAATACATGTTAATTTCTTAAATTTTATAGTTGGATTATGATTAAGTAGGAAAAAGCCCTGAATTTCAGAAGAAAGGGATCAGTCAGGAAAAAAATATTCAGAAGAAAGCCATCAGTCAGGAAAATATTCTTTGTACTGTACTTATAACATTTCTACAACTTACTATTTCAAAATTTTTAAAAATGTAAATGTAATACAAATTTGTATCCTTAAGAGATGTAAAGGCATACCTTGGAGATATTGCAGATTCAGTTCCAGACCACCACAATAAAGACAATATTGCAATAAAGCAAGTCACACATATCTTTTGGTTTCCTAGTGCATTTATTTTTACACAATACTGTAGTCTATTCTGTATGCAATAGCATTATGTTTTTTTAAAAAAATACATGTACCTTGATCAAAAAATACCTTATTGCTAAAAAATTTTACACATCATCTGAGCCTTCAGTGAGTCATAATCTTATTGCTAGTGGAGGGTTTGGCCTCAATGTTAATGGCCGCTGATTGATAAGGGTGGTGGCTGCTAAAGACTGTCGTGGCTGTGGCAATTTCTTCTATTAAGACAATGAAGTTTACCACATCCACTGACTCTTCCTTTCACAGCAATTTCTCTGTAGCTTGCAATGCTGTTTCACAGCATTCTTCTCATAGTACAACTTCTTTCCAAATTGGGGTCAATTCTCTTAAAGCCTGCCCCTGCTTTATCAGCTAAATTTATATAACATTCTAAATCTTCTGTTGTTATTTCAACAATCTTTACAGCATCTTCACCAGAGGTAGATTCTATCTTAAGAAACTACTTTTCTTTGCTCATCCATAAGAAGCAACTTCTTATCCGTTAAATGTTTTATCATATAGCAATTCAGTCACATCTGCAGGTTCCACTTCTAGTTCTCTTGCTATTTCCACCACATCTGCAGTTACTTCCTCCACTAAAGTCTTGAACCCCCTCAAAGTCACCCATGAGAGCTGTAATCAACTTCTTCCAAACTCTTGTTAATGTTATTTTGACCTCTTCTCATGAACCATGAATGTTCTTAACGACATCTAGAATGGAGAATCCTTTCCAGAAGGTTTTCAATTTATTTTGCCCAGTTCCATCAGAAGAATCACTACTCATGACAGCTATAGCCTTACAAAATGTATTCCTTAAATAATAAGACTTGAAAGTCAAAATTACTCCTTGATTCAAAGTGAGACATGAGACTGTTTTTTTCACTTGAACACTTAGAGGCCATTGTAGGTTTATAACTGGCTTAATTTCAATATTTTTGTGTCAGAATATAGGTAGACCCAGAGAGAAGAAGAGAGACTGGAGAACAGTTGGTCAATGGAGCAGTCAGAATACAACAACATTTACCAATTAAGTTCACCATTATATATGGGTGCAGTTCAAGACACCCCAAATTACAATAGTAACAAAGATCCCTGATCACAGATCACCATAAAAAATACTGAAAAACTTTGAAATACTGCAAAAATTACCAAAATGTGACCCATAGACATGAAGTGAGCAAACACTGTTTAAAAAAAAAAAAAAAAGACTCCAATAGATGCATCCAAACACAGGGTTGCCACAAACCTTTGTTAAAAAAAAAAAAAAAAAACTTCAAAGCATAATAAAACAAGGTTATGCCTTTAATCAAGTTCATAAAATCTGAATAGAGTGCTATGAAAAAAAGCTGTTTAGAAATTTATGTCTTCCAACATGTCATATTAATTTCTTTTTTGGGCGGGAGGAGTGGGCAGAAGACAAATCCAAGAAAACTTTCAAAAAAAGGTAAAGCAAAGAGACATAAAGAAAATATGAAAGCAAGGACAAGACACAGATGATCAATCCAATCCAATCCAATCTCCAATATGCATAGAAAAATATAAAGAGTTATATTCCAAAATGTTAACAGACATCTGAAGGGATTTGAGATGCTGTTTATTATCTCCTTTTATTTCATCTTTAGTAAAAAATTAATCTCACACAAAAAAGTTCTGGACTTTGTCTCATCTCCTGGAAGGAGTTCTCTAGGAGGAGTGCTTTTGTTTATTTGGGAACCTTAGAGTTCCTTGGGCACCTCTGTTTACCCAGGGACTGCACCAATACTCTAAACATGTAATTATGTTGGGGGCTTTGGGCCATGCAGAGACTAAAGGGCTAGAGACTAAAGGTTAGTCACATGGGCAGTCAACTGTATCTTCTCAATAAAACACACCAAGGCTCAGGTGAGCTTCCCTGGTTGGCGATATTCTGTATATTGTCACATATCACTGCCAGGAGGAGTAAATGCTGCCCATGATTCCAGAGGGAGAAGACAACAGGAAGCTCCATTCCTGGAACTCTCCTGGAATCCATTCCATGTTTCTCTCTTCCCCTGGCTCATTTTAATCTGTATCCTATTATTATAATAAACCAGAGCCAAGAGTATGACAACTTTCATATTGTCCTTCTAGCAAATTATCAAACGTGAGAGCAATCTTGGGAAACCCCTAACTCTGCAGCTGGTGTCAGAAATGAAGGCAGTCTTGTAAATGGTAACCCATACTTTGGCATGTTTCTACAATAAAAATGTTAATTGGGTAAAAATAAGTTACTAAAAAACTATGCTCACCAGACACTATATAACAACTGTATTTACTGAAAAATTAAAACTGTTTAAATAAAATCTTTTTTAATTCGAGAGTTTGCTATACAACTTCATGCAGGACATCACTTATGTGATCTGTAGGAATAATAAAGTTATTACAATATGGCATCAAAGTAATGAAACATTAGAGTAATGAAACATTAGATCATTTGGACTAACTATCCCAGGAAAGACAACTAAAAAAGCTGGATGAAATATAAAAATCACCTTCTTAAAAAGATTTAAAAACTAAAAATATACTAACGTTATCAGATAAAAGAAATCCAAGTGAGGAATGGAACCAAGAGAGATCATAAACACAATACTGAGGCTACTTTTGCCCAGGGAGGTATTTGTCAATGCTAAACACATGAGAGGCTAAACTATACTTCCAGCAGCTCTGCAATTTTAGGGTAAAGCAGTGAAGTCCAAGGACTATCAAGGGTGGTACCTCTGAGGAACCAACACAAAATTTGGGATAAGACCCTAAATAAGTGCATCCAAATACTAGAGCCCAGTTTAATGTTACTTGGATGACTCAAGAAACCTCACACCTGCACTGTGGATTGTGGTTCAAGACAAAACAGAAGTAATCAAAATCTTCTCTAGAAGATATCCTAGACCTAAAATTGTGTCAAAGAATATTTTTTTAATTTACAACATCTAGACATAAGCAAAGATAACCAGTAAAGTAAAAAAAACATCATAAATAAAAACTTAGAGAAACAAGAAATAAAAGAAACATCCCAATAAACTCGATACTATAATTATCAGATATAGACTTTAAAATAATGTTTGCCATGTTCACAGATAAAAAATTCAGCTTGAAAACTGACACACAGTTGAATATTGTACACAGTAAGAATGCAAACTTGAAAAAGAACTACACAGGTATTTTCTGATGAAGACAATAAACAAATTAGGAACTCAATGGATGAGTAAAAATATATTAGGT